TTTGATTTAAAGCTTTCGTGACTGCAGTAATTCATATTCTTAGTTTTTTCGGTAAAGTCACGTTGAAGAGAAACAACAAAATAACAAAATATATATAAAACAATAAAAAATTCTCACGACGTTTCGACCATAACTCAAACGGTCATCATCAGGTGTGTCGGTTTGCATAAATTTATTTTGAAAACGGCATATTTATTTATTTATATATATAAAAATAACGTTTGCGTCACGCGCAACGATTGGCTGTTTGCCAGGACTAGTCCATCTATTTTTTGAAAAGAGGAGGGGGGAGACGAAATTTGTTTTTATGTATGCTGTCTGAAAGCCACTGTAAGCGTGAACAATCAATCAAGAACTGAAATGATTTATCAAATCTTTCCAATGATTGCTAAGATAGAATCCATCTTCTCGGTTGAAATTGTCTCTGTGTTTGTATATGTGGATAGCCTCATGAACGAATCTCTCATGGAAGCCAGATGGCTTACAAAGAACCTCCGTCTTGGAAAAGTCAATGGCATGTGAGCCTACTGAATTAGAACAATGATCTGCTACGGCCGAGGTGTTGGTCCTACCGTGTTTAAGGTCTGCTTTATGTTCACGAATGCGGTCCGAGATATGGCGTTTGGTTTCTCCAATGTAACTACTACCACAGAGGCAACTTAGTTTGTAGACACCAGGGTATTGTATGTCCGGAATCACATCTTTTACAGACGGAACCAGATCACGGATTTTATGTAATGTGTTGAAACGGACCTGGATCTTGTGTTTATTCAAGATTTTGGAGATCTTTTTTGTGATCCCAGCAATGTAGGGTAAAGTGATGGTTTTGAAAGGCTCCTCAAGAGGGTTCTTCTTCATGGTTTGAGTGATAGCTTTGCGGATTGTATAGTCAGAGTAACCATTAGCCCTAAGAGCTTGGTGTACGTGCTTGAGTTCACTGCTTATGTGTTCCTGGTCGGATATGCATTGGGCTCTATGATACAGAGTCTTGATGAGAGAATTCTTCTGTGATGGATGGTGGTGGGAATCCGGTTTCAGATAAGCATCCGTATGGGTAGCTTTCCTGTAGACAGAGTGGCTCATTGAACCATCAGGTCTCTTTTTAATTAGGACATCCAAAAAAGGTATCTTGCCATCTATTTCGACTTCCATGGTAAATCTGATGGCTGGGTGTATGGAATTGATGTGGTCGAAGAATTGGTCTAGAGCAGGCCGGCCATGTGGCCAGATGACAAAAGTGTCATCCACGTACCTCTTCCATAAGGTTGGGCGCAGAGTGGCAGTCTGGATGGCGTCAGTCTCAAATTTCTCCATGAAAATGTTAGCTATAACTGGAGAAAGGGGGGAGCCCATTGGGGTGCCCTCAGTTTGTTTGTAGAAAGTTCCATTCCAAGTGAAGTATGTATTGGTTAAACAGTGTCTCACCAGGGGGGGTACCTCAGTGTTTAGTCCTTGATGAACCAAGTCTTCAATGATTGCAATGGTGTCAGGTACAGGAACCTTGGTGAATAAGGAAACTACATCAAAACTGACAAGCAGGTCGTCTGGGGACAGGGAAATACCCTTGATTGTTGATACCAGGTGAGTAGAATTTTGTACCGCAGAGGTGGTCTTTCCAGTGAAAGGACGCAGGATTTCAGACAAAAAACGAGCTAGTT